AGAGGAGGGGAGATAGATCCACCGTAGGGAGGTTTGGTGTAGCAGACCTTCGCCGCCGTGAGGGCGGGTGGGAACGCGGTCGAAGACGCGTCTGCAGTGGTTCCCGCCTGGTATTGGCATGACTGGCTAATGACGACGCATAAGCTAGAAATAGCCCTTCTGTCAAGGTCACACCCCAGTTAAGGTCGTCGGCTCGAAGTCGCACGCTTGCGACAAAAAGGCCCTAAGGTCATGCATCACAAAGAAAGCCAAGATTCTGTGGGTTGCGCCCGATCAAAGGTGTATAGTGGTAAACCACATTTGTTTTTTTGGTTTTAATCAGTGCGGTATCGAGGAAGCGATGCAGAATTATGCTGGAATACTCGACTATGCTTTCATAACTACTGTATGTATTTTAGCTGTTAATTCTTGGTTCCCGACCTGTCACAAATTTACGTCTGGTTGTTTATTTAAATACCTCTTATTTTCCAAATGCTGATTTTGCTTATTTTTTTCGATTTGCGCGCTTTAATCCGTGGCTATATATAAGGTCCACTACTTAAACTACCTTTGTCGGAATAATAGCTCGCACAAGAATCGGGAAAGCTTGGAGAAAGTTCAATAGGGCGCTTTATATTCCAAATGGCTGATCAGAGTGCAAATTATCTGGCGTCCCGTTTACAGGCTGAGCTTACACGGCATTTACGGTAAATACTAGGTGTGAAAAGGTTCTATCAAAGACGGTGGGCCATCAAGTAGGGTCGGAGTCAGTAAGACGGGACCTACTTTTTCTATTTCCAAATCGCCAATCCGACTGACACCAATCTGCGCACGTCTCACACTATCCTACGGCTGCCTATGATTAAGGATTTTCGACAGAATCCGAAACGTCAGAAAAATTCTTGTTCCAGTGATCGCATCTTCTTATTTTTCTGTACAAATTATCAGGCGTCGCGTTTACCGGCTGAGCTGACACTTCATTCACCGTAGAGACTAGGTGCGAAGACGTTCTTTGAAAGACGGTGGGCCATTAAGTAGGGTGGGACTCAGTAAGACGTGACGTCCGTTAGCGCAGCCAGACGATCAGGGGCGTAGTGTCCTTCACTCACGTGGCCAAGTTAGTTAGCGAGACCGCATGGGTGATGAGTCATGGGTACCGATTGTCACTGAAACCATATGAGAGCTTACTCATCGCGGACGAAGCAGGCAGATGCTACTCGAGTAGCAGACAATGGACTAAGCGCACACTGATATGATTGGCGTTTCGGAGTGAATCAGTCCGGCCCTCAGGCCCCTTGTCAGTCTATCTAGGAGAAATCCAAATGAGGGAAAGGGGAGTGAATTCGAGAATTTAAAACTGGACTGTGAGCCACTGTGAGTCTATGCTTGAGAGACTGGCAAACAGGAAGAAGCTACCAGACGCGACAAATAACATCGTCAAAGGGCGGGAGCTCGTCTACTCGAGAAGGGGCAAACAGGTAGATAGTAGATGATAGATAGTCTATATAAACGAGGATGGTACACCGTTAGGCAAACACGGCAAAGGACTACTCTACTATAAATGTAGTTGATTGTTTTATTGTTGTGTGAAGGGGTTTTGATGAAACTCAAACTAAGGAGTCATCTAAGTACTGGCAGCAGACAGAGTCATGCGACGGTAAGGTGAAAATTTTAGGACGCTGACTGGTTAGGAGGAGGGGATTATCTAGTCCGTGTGTTCCAATATGCCCATCATGTATGACGGCGCAAAATGTTAAATGAAAATAAAATAGTCAAGAGGTCACACGAAGGACCATGTTCACGCTACGGGGTCTTGGAAAAGGACGCTTAGCAGGAGAACACGGAGGTGGGGGGAAGAGGGTTGGATACATAAATGATCACGTCCAGAAGACGGGACTGTGAGTTGTACGGTAAGTCCACGAGCGTCCCCAATAGGCTAATGTCTGTTGGGAAACCGGTCTCCAGACGAAAATTGCATGCCCATCACAAATAGATGATCTCACCATCACCGCAGGCAGACTGCGAACAGAACGGGGAGTCGATGAACGGCAAAGATACTGCCGAAAAG